GCTCAGTGGTTGAGCATCTGCCTTCTGCTCAGGTTGTGATCTTGGGGTCCCAGGATCGAGTCCTACATCAGACCCTCTTGCAGGGAGCCTGCTTCTTCCTCTGCCTATGTCTCTGCCTCTCTCTGTATCTCTCATGAATAAAAAACAAAAACAAAAACAAAAAAAAACCCTCTCCTTAAGGGGACAGTCTTCTATTTCAATTGATGCAAGAAAGCAAAATGCAACACTTTTCATGATAAAAAACATTCAGTAAACTAGGAACAGAGAAACTTCCTCAATGTGATAAAGGCCATATATGAAAGCCCCAGAGTGAACATCATACTAATGGTAAAAGACCAAAAGTTTTTCCCTAAGATCAGGAACAAGACAAAGATGCCCACTTTCACCACTACTCAATGTAATACTGAAAGTCCTAGCCACAGCAGTTAGGTAAGAAAAAGAAATAAAGGTACCCAAATTAAAGAAAGAAGTAAACTTATCTCTGTTCACAGATGACATGATCTTTTTTTTTAAGATTTTATGTATTTATTCATGAGAGACACCAAGAGAGGCAGAGACATAGGCAGAGGGAGAAGCAGACTCCCTGCAGGGAGCCTGATGCGGGACTCGATTCCAGGATCCTGGGATCACAACCTGAGCCAAAGGCAGACACTCAACCACTGAGCCGGCTACCCAGGCGTCTCGATGACATGATCTGTTATAGAGAAAACCACAAAGATTTCACAAAAAATAAAAATCTGTCAGCAATGATAAAGTCAGAAAAGATGCAGGATACAAAATCAACACACAAATATGTATTGCATTATCTAGTATATACACCGACACTGAACGATCAAAAAGGAAATGAGAAAAACAATCCTATTTACAATAGCATCAAAAAGAATAAAATACTTAGGAATAAATAAACTTAAGCAAGGAGGTGAAAAAACTGTACACTGAAACTATAAAATATTGCTTAAGGAAATTAAAGACTTTAAGTAAAAAGAAAGACATCCTATATTCATGGATTGGAGGACTTATGCACTCTTGTTAAAATGATATTATCCGGGATGCCTGGGCGGCTCGGTTAGTTAAGTGTCTGCCTTTGGCTCAGGTCATGATCCTAGGATCCTGGGGTTGAGCCCTGCATCAGCCCCACATTGAGCCCTGCATCTGGCTCCCTGCTCAGTGGAGACTCTGCTTCTCCCTCTCCCACAGCCCCTCCCCCACCTCAGCTTGCGTTCTCTCTCTCTCTCTCTCTCTCTCTCTCTCTCTCGGTCTCTCTCAAATAAATAAAATCTTTATTTAAAAAATAATAGGGGTGCCTGGGTGGCTCAGTGGTGGAGCATCTGCCTTTGGCTCAGCTCATAATCTCAGGGTCCTGGGATGGAGTCCCATACTGGGCTCCCTGCAGGGAGCCTGCTTTTCCCTCTGCCTGTGTCTCTCCTCTCTCTCTCTGTGTCCCTCAGGAATAAATAAAGAAAATATTTTTTAAATGATAATATTATGCAAAGCAATCTGCAGATTTAATGAAATCCCTATCAAAATCTCAATGACTTTTTTTGCAGAAACCCTTTCTAAAATTCATATGGAATCTCAAGAACCCCAAATAGCCAAAACAATCTTGAAACAGAGAACAAAGTTGAAAGACTCACATTTTCTGATCCTGAGGATGGCACAGCACAGAAGAGTGAAATACATTTCCTGGGTGTGCCCACTGAAGCCACCTCCCTCTGGACTCCTGAGGAATAGCCATCCACTAATCTCCTCTATACTCAGAGCCACTTGACATCAGTGTTGTGTTCCTTACCACAGAGCATCTTGTGATTGGCAGAGGCATTCACTTGACTTCCCCTTTTGGAGTCTGTGGATGACCCTCCTGGTCCCCATGTCCACATCCAGGCCCAGTGGGGAGACAAAGCCTTCTGCCGCGACCCCGGGGAGGCCATCAGAAGTACCTGATGGAGATACCTCTCATGGAGGCTTTTTTGAAAATTTAAATTCTCATTTTTATGAGGGGAGGGTGGGAAAGTGGCGGGGGAAAGAAGCCACAGGGGTAGGAGGAAACTAGAAGGGAAGAGTAGGGAGAGGAGCAGAGAGGAGGAAAGGTAAGAGGGAAAGGAAAGAGATGAGAGGGACTCCTGGGTGGCTCAGTGGTTGAGCATCTGCCTTCAGCTCAGGGCATGATCCTGGGGTCCTGAGATCAGGTCCTGCATCGGGCTCCCTCCATGGGGATCCTGCTTCTCCCTCTGCCTATGTCTCTGCCTTTCTCTGTGTGTCTCTCATGAATAAATAGGTGGAATCTTTAAAAAAAAATTAAACAGATGAGAACATAAGAGGCCAGGAGAAGGGAGGTGGAGGGAGGCAAAGAAAATAAGAAAGTGAGTTATATATACATAGGAAGATACAAAATGCATACCTTGTGGAAGACAGAAATGTGAAAAAAAAAACCCAAATGAACCAGCAGAAAAATTAATAAAACTGTAAGAAAATATAGACTAAGAGGGCTGGGGGGAAAAATCAATATAAAAAATCAATACCTTTCTATCCTGCAGCAATAAAGAATTAAAAAACATAAAATAAGATATTCCATTAATTATAGCAACACATACTTTTAAAAATACCTAAGAATTGGCAGTTTCACCATTGGCCCAGGCTCCTCTGACCCTTTTTCAGCCCTCCCTCCCCACTAATGGGGCTCCAGCCACACAGGCCTCCTGGATGTGCCATACTGGCTGTTCCCTCTGCCCCCAGACATCCGGATAGTTCATTTCCTCCCCTCCTGGGTCTATACCAGGGCTTGCAAACTTTTTCAATAAAGGGCCAGATAATAAATATCTTAGACATTGTGGGCCAAGAGACAAAATCAAGAATATTAAGCATATACTTACAGAGAAACAGAGAAGACAAACTTCCACAAAAATACTTATTGATGAAATTCAAAATATAATGACACCTGAGTCCTGGTTTTTTGTTTTTACTTTTTGGTAATAGACGTTTACGAAGGAGAAAAATGGAATTCTTTTTTTTTTATTTTTTTTTTTTATGACAGTCACACAGAGAGAGAGGGGGGGGGGGGCAGAGACATAGGCAGAGGGAGAAGCAGGCTCCATGCACCGGGAGCCTGACGTGGGCTTCGATCCGGAGTCTCCAGATCGCGCCCTGGGCCAAAGGCAGGCGCCAAACCGCTGCGCCACCCAGGGATCCCGAAAAATGGAATTCTTTTAGGGGGATACTGTCAAAGTCAAGCATTTCCAAGCATGGAACAGATTGCAAATGCTCTTCTGTAAGAACCCTTCTCAGCAAAGATGTGATGGGCCAGATTTGATCTGTACTCAAACGTCACCCCCTCGGTGAGGCTTTCCCAGGACACTCTTTTAAAAGTTGTACCCCGAGGCATCTGGGTGGCTCAAATGGTTAAGCATCTGCCTCGGCTCAGGTCATGATCCTGGGGTCTTTGAATGGAGTCCCACGTTGGGCACCCTGCTCAGTGGGGAGTCTCCTTCTCTCTCTGTCCTCCCACCCCCACACACACACTCATTCTCTCTCTTGCAAATGAATAAAAAAATCTTAAAAAAAAAAGATTGCGCCCCCACCCCACCCCCTCCGATCTTCCCTCTTCTCCTCTGATCTACGCTGCACTATTATTTTGCTCACATATCCATTTACTGTCCTTCCCTTCCATCTGTAAACTTTACGTAGGCAGAGTTTGTCCTGCCGCTGCTGTATTCCGAGTACCTGCAACATGTCTGGCACATGGTAGTCACTCGATAAACATCTGCTGAATAAATGAACGAACAGAATCATAGTGAAGCGAGGATGTGTTGATACCCCACGTGCTTAGAGCAGTGGCCCGCACATGCTGTGCTTAAGTATTAGTCACCGTTATTTTAGGAGGGGCCCTGCTTCTGGAAAGTGCAGGCCCCAGAGCAAACAAAATCTTCCAGCCACCAGACACCTTCACCTCCTCGGACCTGCCTGCTGAATCTCCTCTGTCTCTCTGCTCCCCCTGTCGCTCCTGGTCTCTGCCCACCACGCCCCCTCACTGGACTGTGTGTCCCCCTCTGCCTCTCTCAGTCTTTGTCCCTCATTTACAGATGAGTCTTCAGGACCAGCTCCCAGGGCTCCTCCCTGGTGCAGGGCCTCAGGCAGAGGCCTCAGCACCACCATGTGAGATGCCTTAGCTCTGCCCTCCTCCATTCTGCCCCCACGCACGGCACCCCCTCAGTGCCTAAAGATCCTGCCCCCCCCCATGTCTCCACCTGACTAACTGCATCTCAGCTCAGGTGTCTCTGCTCTGGAAAGCCTTCCCTAACACCCTCCCCCGGCCCCTAGGCTGACCCCTCACTGAGCACTATCATTCTGCAGGACACCTGAGCCATCCCTAGGTACCCCAGACTGAAGATTCCCCCAGGCCCTACCCCTACCTCCAGGAAGCTCAGGCCTGATCCCTGACCGCCCCCCACCGGCTTCCGAGAGCCCCCTGCCCCTGCCCTCTGAAAATTCCTAGTTGCTGGGGTCCACCCGGCCCTCCCCCGCGGGTCGCCCGCCCAAGCCCACAGCAGCCGCATCCTACACTGGAGGAAATGCCAGGTGAGGGGCTGCGCACTTTGCCAGGTCGCTGGAGGAGGCAGGGGGAAGCGGGGCGCCGGGCAGGGGTTTTGGCAGGACTGGCCCAGGGTACACGGCAGCAGGCAGAAAGATGGACAGATTTTTGGGTGAGCCGCAGCTGAGCTGGGACTCCGGGGCCCCTCCTCTCCGCCCAACTTCTCCGCCAGGCCGGGCGTCAGGGGCTCACCCGGGAGCCGCTCCCGCCCCCTGGCCCCGCGCCAGCCGTCATCCCCGTGAGGTCAGCCACCGGCCCGCGATTTCGGGGAAATACCAGCTCCTTATTGAAACCAGGCGGTGGTCAGGCCCCTGCTGCTTTCCCAGTAGAAACCGGGGTGTTTGTTCCGAGAGGAACAAGAGTGGGCAGGGCCTGGCCAGGGACGCGGGCGGAATGCCTGAGCCGCAGCACCTACCTGGCGGAGGGTCGGCGCCCCGGGGGGCACCGGGGAGCGGGGGGAGGGGCTCACCCGAGGTCTGAGCAAGGGCAGGCGGGCAGGCGGGCGCAGGAAAGCGGGGCCGACCAGGAGGAGGGGGCGTGGGCCGGCGACCCGGAAAGCACGCGGGGTGGGGGGGCAGGCGGGGGGCCCCACACAGGAGCAGGGCCGCGGGGCCGGCGGGCTGGGGGCGCGAGGCCCTCCCCTCCCTGGCGCCCCCGCCCCGCGCCCCCGCCCGCCCGCCCGCCTCCTGCAGGGGGCGCCCGCGGGTCGCGCTGCAGGCCGGGCCCGGGCATCTGGAGCGAGTTAGGCGCGGAGGCCGGCGGGCGGCGGCGGCTGAGCTCATCCCGGCCCGCCCGCTGCGGTCCCGGCGCTGGAAGCGAACGGAGCAGAAGCGCCGCGGGCCGCTCGGGGCCGCTCGGGGCCGCTCGGGGCCGCGCGGCGGGAGCGTGACTCCGCCCGGAATGTGGCCGCGAGCGCGGCGGCGGCGGCGGCGTGTGTGTGGCTGGCGCGCCGCCGAGGGAGGGCCGAGCCCCGGGGCCGGCCGCCAGCGGAGCGGGTGTCACCGCGTGTCGGGGCTGGCGACGGGGTGCGTGTGCGCGCGCGTGTGCTCGCTAGTTACACACCTCCCAGCGCATACTCCCGTTCTACCAAGTGCACGGGGCTGCACGAAGCTGGGGCTCCCGGTTCCTGGCCCTGAGCCCGTGTCCCTGTGCCTGTGCACGCGCATACCCACACACGCGCGCGCGCACACCGTGGCCCACCTCCCCTCTGCCCACTGCCCAGACACAGACAGACTCTTCCTGGTCTTGCCCCCTCCCCCTGCACGCCCCTCCTTCAGGAGGGAAGGAGATACCCCTTTGCTCCAGGGTCATGGCTAACCGTGGCAGAGACCACACGGGGCGACACACACCCAACATTCCTATAAGAAACACCTTCCTATCAGCAGGCTGGGAGAACCAACAGGCAGGTTGCAAGGTGGTGGCAAGTCTTGGAGAGGCCCCTTGGTGAGATAGGCCCATCGCTGCCAGGGGTGGGGAGCCAAAGGGGCTGGTGGTCACTGAATCCCACCTCTAAGGTCCTTTGACACACCCCCCCCCCCGCAATGGGCTCTGAGGTTACTGCACAGGGTATGAAGGGCCTCAGAGGCCCCAGGACTCCCAGGGCCAGGAGGCAGGGTGGGGACATGGCACTGTGCCCATCACCAGACATAGTGGGGAGCTGGGGCTTGACAAATGCCTCTGAGCATCCAGGGCTCCCCTGACCCATCAGGCTGGTTCTTGCCTCGGGCCCTCACTTAAGGGATCAACTGTCCCAGCCCTGGGTAACTGTAGCCTCAGCTGTGCTAGAGACCTCAGGGAGCTGGCACTGGCTACCCAGTGCTTGCCAGCCTTCCTGGCTGGGCTTGCGGCTCTGTCATGCCCCCTTATCCTCCTCGCTTGGCCCAATAGCTAGCTGGGCAGTGGCTCTGAGATAAGGACCCTACCTGCAGGACAGGGCACATGAGCCCTTCACCCTTCCTCACCAGATAGTGCTCAAAGCACACTTTTGCAGAGGGCTGGCCCAGAGCTCTAGGCCTCTGAGTTGCCTCCACATCCCCCCACCTGTGGGACAGAAAGGAAACCCTGTCCTGGGTAGGCCTCCACAGGAGGTGGCTCTGCATCTAAAGGGATATGCGTCTATGGCAGCCACAGGGTCCTCGGCTCCCAAGACACTGGAACAAGCTGGGTGAGGGTTTTGTTGTTTTTTTTTTTTTAACCGGAATGACTCTGGTTTGTAGAACCAGAGCTTCCAAATTACTTAGCAAAACATGTTTGCTTTTTAATTAACATGTGCTTGCAAAACAATGGTTTTAATTAAAGTGGGTGGGGGAGAGAAGGGACATGGGGGAGAATATTTCAAGGAGCTCCAAGTCCGGGCCAGATTTCTTAAAAATAAAATGGGAGCTTTGCCCCAAGCCAGCAGAAACTGGGAGGCCAGGCAGGCTCCTTGGGAAGCCCTAAGCACAGCCCTACCTGCCTCCACAGCTCTCCACTTCCCTCGCTGAGAATTCACCCTTTTGCTGACAGTCTCATTACTCATTTACCCAACTGTTCCCTGGGCTCCCTGGGAAGGGATGGTCTTTTAGAAAGCAGTTTTGCAGGTAAGGGGCACCAGATAAGAGACCGGGGACAGCATGAGTGAAGACGCAAGAGTGTGGGCCTTATTTGAAGAGAATATTAAGTTCACTGGGGAAAGAGAGAGCAGAGGTGGAGGAAGGTGACCCTGAAAAATCCAGATTCCCCAGACCGGTGGACTGGAAGGGTAGAGCTGGACCAGGAGATGCGGAGGTCCAAGCCCCAGGGAGCTAAGTAAGGGGAGGGGGTCGAGCTGGGGCCACGGATATAGGGGTGGAAGGGAGGGTAAGGCTACCTTGGGCAGAGAGAGGGATTTGCAGAAGAAAGGGAAGGCATGTGGGAACTGGAAGCAGGAGGGAACCTGGAGCGGGGGACCTGGGCCTTGCTGGGCAGAGGCTGCTGGGCAGAGGCTGCTGGGCCCGGCTGCAGGTTTGGTTGGTCCAGCAGGGGGCAGCGTTGACCCCATCATCCTGGGCTACTGATGCACCCTCGGGGTCCTAGCCAGTAAACGCTTCAGGAAGAGTGTGAGTGAGATGATCCCTCAGGGTCTCTGACTTTAAAAGCCAGCACTAGGGTGAAGCCTGGGGTCAGAGGTCAGCACCAGGATGGGCCAGGATGTTGCCCCCCTCCCAACACAAGTTCAGGTAGAGGGAGATTGACCAGGAAGCTTTTGGGGAGTGAGGGCACTCCCAGAGTTCAGGTCAGGTGGCCTCACCCAGGACCCTGTTTCTCATTAGGGGCCTTCTAGCCTCCCCCAGCCTGAGCCCCCACACGAAACGTGCCTCCCTGTACTTAATTCATTACACTGGGCAGGGTGGGAGGCCCAGCAGGGCGGGGGTTATTTTTTTCCCCTGAGCTCAGACATTCCTTGCTTTATTATTCTCCACATTTCAAAGCAGCTGTCGCCTCCCCCAACCGCCCCCAGCCCGAAGCTCAGAGTCCAGAAGGGGCCTCTCCAGGGCTCTGAACAGCAGAGGCTTCCACACCTCCAGCCCAGCACAGGAGAGAAACTGTGGCTCAGAGGTAGACCCCCAGGGCAACCTGAAGGGACCTCCCCCAACAGCCTGCACCTGAACTTACCTACCCCCAAGCTTGGATCCTCCTAGGTGATCCCTACCCCCACTGCCCTGCCACCATCCTGTAACATTGTGTTCCCTGCCTCTATTCACTGGCTCTGGACCACTTTTCACACTGGTGACCTCAGGGGCCCCCTCTCCATTGCAGAGCCAGCCCCGGTGTCCCCCACCTGGAGCAGGTGCTGCTAGGACAGTTCTCAGGGTCCCTGCCCTGTTCAGGGCCTTAACAGAATGAGCTCTGGCTGGGTCAGCAGCCTGACAGAGGGCAAGGCCCTTCCTGGATCAAGGGATCAATCCAGAGGACGGCAGGGCTGGGGTCAGCCGAGACAGTCACCTAGAAGCTAGACCGGGAGCAACAGTTCTAAGGACCCAGTTTTGGAGAACTAAGGAGGCCGTGGACAAATGTTTGCCTCACATCAGAGAGCTGCCCACCTGGCAGAGCTGCCTCAACAGGAGATGAGCTCCCTGTTGCTGGGATGGTCAAGCAAATAACAGCTCATCAGACTTGCCCTGGAGAAGAGTTTGGCCCAGATGTCTGGGGCCCCTTCCCACCCAACTTTGAGGTCAGAATCTGGGGCTAGCAGAGAAGGTCCCCACTCTAGATGAATGGAATTAGGGGTCCCTTCTCACTCATTTGGGGATGGCAAGGCAGGTCTGGAAGCAACAGGAGACCTGGGAGCCGGAGCAAAGCTCGAGCAGGACCCACCTGCTCACTACAGTGTCCTGGGGCCTGGGGAAAAGCTGGGCACGCAGCAGATACTCCACCATCGTGTACCAATGAATGAAATGGGGTCTGACCAGGCCCTCCTCCCAGAGCCCGCAGAGATCCGGGCCTCCGCCTCCAGGAGGCACTCTGAGCACAGGGGGAGCTGGGATGGGAGCCCAGGTGGGGCAGGCAAGCTGAGAGAGCTGAGGACTGAGTTTGGAGTCACTCCTGATATCATTTTGCCCCTGAAGACCCTACAGCCAAGCAGGTCTACCCTGTGTGTGGGGCTTGATGGCTGGATCCTCAGGTGCCCAAGAGGGTAGGAGTCACTCCGTCATGTGGCCTGAAGTGTTACCGTCTGGGGAATGGGCTGCCCAGAGCCCAAGCTCCTGAGGGAGGAAGCAGGTGCCAGTAGGTCCAGAGCTGTGGAATCTGGGTATGTCTGTCTCTTGGGGGTTCCCAGCCCTGGGCTCCTTCACTCAGACCAGGCCATACAGAGGGAGCTGCTGAAGCTCCTGGGCTGTGCCCAGCTTCCACCTTTAACCATCCCTCAGCCCTGAGCACTGTTTCTCCTCCCGGGGCTAGAAATCATTAAGTATTTATGCCTTTCCTGCCTCGCCAGCCGCCACCCCACCGCTGTGCTGCAGCTAGACACAAGCAGCTACTGCCACTGGCTTCGCACCTCTGGCGGCAGATGGGAACAGGTATAGGCACCCAGAGGCTTAGAGACACTTGGAATCACAGGATCCCAGATACTGCCATGAAGGAAGAGGAGGATCACCCCTCCAACCCCCCCCCAACCCTGACCTCATCAGTGCCCGCCTCTCTCAAAGGCTCATCTGCATTGGCCCTCCCCAGTCTCCACTCCCCGCTCCTTCCCAGCTGGCAGGGCCAGGCCTCTGTCATCACTGGCATCTGATAATTCCAGGATGCATGGATGAATGAGTGAATGAATGAATGAGTCAGTTCAAATGAGCCTCGGGCCTGAAAAGGATGGGCCCCATTCAGGGGTCTCTATCCAGGGGCTTGGGAAGATGTTGATTGCAACAAACTGTGAGATTTTCTCAAAACTTAAAAATTGACTTGTAAAAAAAAAAATAAAATAAAAAAAAAAATAAAAACAAAATAAAAAAAAATTGACTTGTAAGATCTTATTTTGCCAACCAAAGACATGAAAACAACAGCCACCAGCTACCATTGCCATTGTTTTGTAAATAAAGGACAGTCTCAAGACAAAAAAAAAAAAAGCCAGCCTCATGGGATCTTGGAAGAAAGACAGGCAGACCTTGAAAATGCATAAGCTTCATAGAGACACCGTGGGCCACCAACATGGGCCTTACTTTCTCTCGTGAAAACTTTCTTGGATATTGTCACAAAACTGGGCCCTGGGGCTTGGGGACATCCATATGCTTCCAAGCTCTACCAGGACCAGAACCCTTTTTGTAGCCTTCCTGACTAGAATCGGTGTTCCTCTGCCTGCACACCTCTTGGGACAAGGTGCTCACTACCTCTCCCAGTTAGCTCCAGAGCTGGGGGATGTCATTCTGGAGCACCTCTAAGTGGCTTCCAAGCCTACTGTGGGAGGGAGGGAAGGGACCACATGGCAAGTGAGATGGAAGAGGTGCCCAGGGGAGGAGGGAATACAGCAACTTCCAGACCCAGGGCATGGGAATGGTGGGGGGAAAGGGGAGCTCATATTCAGCTGGACCAAAATATTAAAAAAAAAAACAGAAAGTTGGCCAAGACTTGAGACTTCCCAAAGGGCACTGTCTCCTCGTCTCTGGAGTTCCAGAGTCTTCCAGCTGCCTCACTCCATGCCCTGGCCCTCCAGAAAGGCTCTGGTGTCCTCATTCTCTCTGAGCCCCCACTGGATAGGTAAGTACCCAGAGCCATAGGCCAGAGAAGGGAACACAGGCTGCAGGCATCCGTAGGCAGTCCGGGGAGGAGGGGGCAGGCTGGGGCCCTTCCCAGCCTTGACCTTCAAGGCCCTCCCCTCTCCAAGGGGCCCTGGGCCCTGGCTGCTGAGACCAGAGGGGGCACTTTGGGCGGTCGGCCCTGGGGAGCCTCGCGTACACACACTCACACACACTCCACATTCCAGCTGTGCTCTGTCAGCGTTTAGGCAAACCAGGATTGTGTGGCTTTGGGAAAGCGGGAACAAATAACCCCCAAACTTGGGTGAGGGCAGGCCTGGGGCTGGGCAGAAGGGACCTGAGAGGACTCCCAGGGAGCCACTTCTGTGCCAGGTCACTGGGTTCAAGGTCTGGGGTTTTCCTGCTGTCCTCTGAGGCCACAGGGTCAGCAGTCCTGGAGTGAGGGTGGCCCTGCACCCAGCCAGGCTCATCCGGGCCCCCTCCCCTCCACCCTTCCCACCACCCAGGCCCTCAGGACCAACAGGGCAGCGCTCCGGCCAGGCGTCCCCCAAGCACCCACGTCCACAGCACAGGGGCTGCCTTGACATCTGCCGCGGCCTGATTTCTTTTGCCTCTCCTCCCACGTCCTCCGCAGGCCGCCCCAGCCTGCCTCTGACTTCATACAATCCACCCTCGATTTCTCTTAAGGTCATCAGCTTTCTGTCGGCCCCTCTGGTGCAAAGCGCTTTGGGCCCTAGTGTCCAGTTCCTCATACCTGCCATATGCTTTCCTGCCTTCTCGTGACCTGGTAAGATTTTCCTCCAATACCCTGCCTGACTCCATTCTACCTCGGCCTGAGTTCTGGCCTTCTAGGCCCCCTACTTAGTGCTATGTATTCCATGTCCCAGTGGTGACCCCTGGAACCCCAAGGACGGAGTCTAGAAAGAAGCTGCAGGGTGTAGCAGGCTGCTGAAAGCCAGAAGCAGCCATGTGGGAATGTCAGAGCAGAAGGACGGTGGTTCTGGGGTCCTGAGGCTGAACTCTGTCTGCCCCTGGCCCCCAGTCTCCTCAGGCTGCTCCACCGATCCCCTGGATCAGCCTGAACCAGGACTGAAACCAGAGGTGAATATTCCTGCCACCTTAGAAAGACCTCAGAGATAAGGCCTCAAGCCAAATGGGGGAAGTGAGGCATATAGAGACCCCAGATTAGACCCCATCTCACAGAACATGGGACCTGGCACTTGAGGCATGGAGGGGACTAGGCTAACAGGGGGACAAAGTCTCTGCGCCCTCTGATCCCTTTCCACCGGCCGCAGGGCCACAGGCTGGACCACCCTGCTTGAGGGGGGAGCGGGGACAGTGTTTATGCAACTGTGGGCAGGCCACAGCCTGGCTGGCAGTGCTGCCTGCCCAGCACCAGCACTGACTCAGCAGAGCCCCCCAGCACGTACACGCTTAGACATGCATGCAAACAGGCAGACGTGCACATGCACAGAGGCACACACAGGTGTGCATATGCACAAACATCACACACATATACAGGTGTACACATGGGCATCTCAGGCACCCACAGGTACAGACACAGACACACGGGCATGCGGGTGGGCACATGCACACACAATCACAGTGGGACAGACAGAAATAAACATTCCAACTAAGGTGGGGAGGAGGGAAGCCGAGTGAGGAAAATTCTCACCCCGCACCCCCCGCAGCTGAGTGGCACCCTCTAGGTCCCTCCACCCATCCACTCTGACACTTGTACCTACAGCCAGTGAGCTGAGCCCAGGAATGACAGCCCACCTGTGATCAGCACAGCCACGTACAACAGGCAAAAGGCCCCAGAGTGGCAATGTGACCATGGCTGGGACAGAGACACATTCCAAGCAGAGTGGAGCCCCAATAACTAGGATCAAACCACCCCAGCCCCAGCTTGTCAGCCACAACAGCCCCCACTGTACCCCCTACCAGCCACCTCCAACCAGCCTATCCCTCCTCATCCACACAGGAAGACTGATGGGTCTGGGCTGCAGAGTGTCTTGGGGAGATGTGTGGGATGCTCCCTTCTGCTGCCACACCAAGCTGAGGAGGGTGGTACCTCCTGGGAGCCAAGGGAGCATGCGAGCACTGCAGGACCATCCCGAAAACCAGAGAAGGGACAGGCATTCTTGAGAGTACATATCGCCGTGCCTGGGGATGACAGAACAGGTGCGATTCCCTGCCTGCTGGACTCCAGCCCAGGGTGGGCATCCCCAGAAAGAAAAGGCTGGGATCTCCCAGTCCTTGGTGGCCTCTGGAGACTTTTTTTTTTTTTTTAATTTATGATAGGCACACAGTGAGAGAGAGAGGCAGAGACACAGGCAGAGGGAGAAGCAGGCTCCATGCACCGGGAGCCCGATGTGGGATTCGATCCCGGGTCCTCTGGAGACTTTTGAAAGGTGGCTCAGCAATTCCTGGGCTTGCTGTGCAGGAATGAAGTGGCCGGGGCAGGCAGGAGCTGGGGGCCGCCCAGAAGGGCATCAGCCTCAGTCACGTAGCTCCCCACCCGGAGCCCTGATTGGGACCAAAGAGAGGCCCTGCTTTCCTGTGGGGTCCCCAGCCACCAGTTGTCCAGGGAGGCCAACCAGAGTCCAGCAAGTCCACACGTACACAGGAGACACCCCCAGTAACAGAGGCCACCGCAGCAAGGCCACATGTGCCTCCATTCCTGGCCCCACCAGCCAGCCAGACTCTGCACCATGAAAGAGCCGACCACCATCCCTCACCTGCCCCCCGGAACGGGATCTGGGGCTGGAGTGCATTGTGCCGAGACAAGAAAAGGAACCAGAAAGCCTCAAAATCTGCCTAAGATGTTGCTGAGACTGGTTTCAAAGTGGCTCTGATCGCTTTTCATCTCCACTGGGCCAAGTGTGCATCTGCTTCTCTCTCCCAGACCCTCATACCTTGTCACCCTGCCTCTGCTGGCAGTCAGAGTGATGCTGATAAAGCATCACCCCCATCCCCCACCTGGAGCACACACCAAAGCCTGTGCAGACCCTTGGTCACCTCTCTGCCTCGCCCCCCCCCCCACCACCACCACCACGTCCGCATGGCGCTGTCTGCTCTCATCTCAGGGCACTCGTGCTCTCTGCAGAAACGGCTTCCCTCGAGGCCCACGGGGCAGCCTGGAGCCGATGCCCAAGTGCCCCACACAAATGTTCCAGCCTGCCTCGGAGATCCTGCCCTAGCCAGTGTGGACAGGAGTAACTGGAGAGTCTGGGCCGTCTCTTGGAGGCTGGGCCCTCACTGTCCACAGTACACTCCACTCCCGTGCACCCTGGAGAGACTTCCTTCCCTTCCAGCTGCTCTCCCATGCCCCCGGGGGTCACCTCCTGGGGAGCCGACCTGCATTCCTGTTCTCATCTCAGCTCTGCTTCTGGGGAAGCGCAGCTAAGATACTCCTCTCCTCTCTTGATTGCTTCTCTGCTTTGACAACTCCCCACTGTCCCCTTCCCGCCCAGTCCCCTACAATCACCATTCTACTTTCTCCCTCTTTGAATTCGATGGCTCAAGTTTTCTCATTTAAGTGGAATCACATAGTATTGTTTGGGCCTGGCCTATTTCACTTAGCTTAGTATCCTCAAAATTCATCCATGGTGTAGCAAGTGGCACCCCGTCCTTCCTTTTTCAGGGCTGAATACCGAGCCATCACGTAGCTATACCACATTTTGTTTATCCACGCACCTGTCGATGAGCTGTTTCTACCTATTGGGTTCCTATGAATAATGTCTCTATGAACATGAGGGTATGAGTATCTCTCTGTCCTTTCTTTCAACTCTTTTGGGTAGGTGCTTAGAAATGGAATTGCTGAAAAAAAAAAAAAGAAATGGAATTGCTGGATCCTATGGGAATATGTTTTTATTTTAGTGACCACCCTCCATAGCGTTTTCCAGAGCGGCTGCACCATTTACGTTCCCACTGGCGGGCTCCAATTTCTCCACATTCTCACAATACTTGTTATGCTCTGTTTCTTGGTTCTTGGACAAGAGCCATCCTAATTGGGTGTGAAGTGGTATCTCATGGTGGTTTGGATTTGCATTTTCCTAATTAGTGGTGTTGAACATCTATTCACATGAACATCTATTCACATGCTAATCGGCCATTTGTAGATCCTCTTTGAAGAAATGTCTATTCGAGTCTTTTGCCCATTTTCAAATTGGGTTGTCTATTATTTTGCTGTTGACTTGTAGGAGTCCTTTATATATTCTGGGTATTATCTTCTCTTTTTCGCCCAACCATTACCTTCTCTGATCATCACTGGCCTCACGACTTAACATGTCAACCCCCTCTCAGCTCTTACACACACAGGCACATACACACACACTCACAGCCTCTACCCGACTTTGGGTCCCTTCTCAGCCTTTATCGCCTGTTGACACATTTTATGGGTGGTGATTTGTCAGGTCTTTGTGAGCTCCATGAGGGCAGAGGTTTTGACTGCTTTCTCCCCTACCGTGTTCCCAGGGCCTAGGACGGAGCCTGGGAACAGTCGGTGCTCTATAAACTCTGAGAGAATGAAGATGAGACAGACTCCTGCATAGACACTCACACCCCTCACTCATGGTCTCACGTACACTGCTGGCACACTCCCCCCACACACTCTCACGCTCACAATCCCGACATACTTGCAGGAATGTCCCCACATCACACCAATGCCTACAGGCAGCCTAATCTGTGCTCATCTTCAGACTCGCTCACACATGCACAGGCTCACCTCTATGCAGACACACTGGCGTGCACAAGAGACACTGAAATGCACCCTGATGGAGCTGCCCTGACCTCCTGGATCCTCCTGGCTGATGGACTGTTCCCTACCCTGTGTGGCCCACTCCCCACTCTAAGCCCTCAATCTCCCCCATACCCCCTGTTCCAAGGGCCCCCAGGCTCTCTGCAGGGCATTGCTCTCAGTCCTGATCAGTAGATCACCTGCTCCGGGAAGCTTCCTCTCACTCTCCCTGCTGGGCTCCAAGGGGAGGGGAGGGGCCCTGGCTCCTGAGCAGGGTGTAGATAATGGGGTCTAGGTTTGCAGCAGGTGTCTGTACCTCCTCCTGTCATTGCAGGGACTGCATACTTATCTTCTGCTGAGAAGCCCAGGGCTAGGGAACCCAATGGGGACCCCAGATACTACCCCAGTAAGGACTCCTCCTCTGGCCTACCACCACACCACAGGCAGAGTTCCTTGGTCTCTCCATCTGATGCAGTCAGGGATCTGAGGCCCCTTCAATTCTGACAGCCTGGGGACAAAGTTAGCTCCTGCCCGGCCATTCATTCCCAGGGTGACTCAGGTTAAGGTCATGCGCTGTTCCGGGTCTCAGTTTCTCCATCTGTGACATGGGCAGCCCTGGGCCAATGCCCCACGGTTCCCTGATTGCTGGTGGTGGTGTGAGACAATTCAGATATCCCACTGGCGCCCCTGCGTGAGGGGCCACAACAGAGCTGCCACTTCTTAAAGAGAGAAGGGGAGGACAAGAGTGAGGGAGGGGCACCCAGGCCTCTTCCAGCTCAGCCCTGCTCCTGCCCCAGTGTCCTGGTAGGCAAGCTCTGAGGGTTGGGCACAGCAGGTAGGATATTTTTGAAGGGGAGCAAGGAGGCAGGATTTCAGCGTGACTCCCCTCATTTTGTCCAGGGCTCACCATGTGGGACTCATAGATTTTATAGAAGTCAATCAAAGGCCACAGACAGGAAAGAAGGAAGGAGAGAGAGAGGAGGAAGAAAGGAAGGAAGGAACGAAAGAAAGAAGGAAAAAGGAAGGAAAGATGTCATTTATTCATGAGGCCCATGGGGTGAGGACAGAGATGCACAGCTGGTAGGGAGAGATGCCAGGCACACAGGTCTGCAGGGCCGGCAGAGGGGCTGCCGTAGCATTCTGGATGTGCTCCCCTTCTCCCCGAATCCCAGGTCACTGGTGTTCGCACCATGAGTGGGAGATGAGCTGTCCCCAGCATGACCTCCTGGGCTCCCTGAGAGTAAAGGGTCACAGGTTACAGCGGAAGGGGCGGAGCGAGGCAGCCAGGTGTCACCTGAGAGCCAGAGTTAGAGATGGGGAGGTGGCAACATGGGATTTGGATGCTGAGATGGGAGAGGACAACCATGCTGAGATGGGCAGAGGGGGGCAGGGGTGGCAGCAGGTTTGGAAAGGAGTGGAGGTCTCACCTGGGATGAGGGGTTCAACTGGCCATGATGTGCTTCACAAATGCTGCAAAGAAGGGCAGAGCGAGTGGCAGGGGTTGAGCGCTGGGTGGCCTCGGGCAGGAGCCTAGGGTCCCAGTGCCCTCACCACCACCACCAGACCCCCTCCTGCTGAGCACACCTTCATAGTTGATGCAGCCATTGGAGTCTTCCTGCCCCGCCATCAGTTTCTCCACCTCATCTTCCGTTAGCCTCTCACCTGGCCAGGGAGGGAGGCTGAGTAAGCACCCCTGAAAGGTGCGAGGCATGGAGGGCCCACGGAGCCCCTCTGGATGGTGGGTCTGCTTCCCCAGTATCCCCACTTTGGCACAACCGTCCTGGCTCACAAGGTCTTAGCCATCACCCCTGTTTCCGAGACCAGGAATATCAGTGACAAGTCAAAACAGCAGGAGGGACCTAGAGTGCTGGTGCACCCTCCAAGCCTGGGCTCTGCCCATAACATGGCCAGCCTGGTGTTCAAGTCACCAGCACACACAGTCTTTTCAACAGGCTGCTGGGGGCTCCTTCCACCAAGAGGAGGCTGCTCCCCCCATCAGATCCCTGGAAGCTGTCCCTTTTGAGGCTAGAAGAAGGGCCCATGGGGTGGAGCTGAGGGCCCTGGGGGACTGGGTGGAGGAGACAAGGAGACAGCATCTCTGCTCTCCAGACAAGTCTGCCACTTTCCTGCTCCTGGGTTTTGTGTGCTGTGCTGCTCCCCACACTGGGATGGGGGGTAACCTCCTACCCCCAGCCACACACACAACCCCAGAGACCAGCCCAGGGCCAAGCACACAGTAGGAGTTCAGTAAATATCTGATGCAGGGAAACATACTTTGAGCAGACATACTGAGCAAGTGCTTTATAAACATTTTCTGTACAAAAAGCTTCTTTGAGAAGGAGGTGCCCCTGCCAGCCAGACGATGGGGGTCAGGATGTCCGAGAGGCAGGCACCTTACCTACTGCGCCTCTTAGTTGCTGTGTCCCTGCAAACTGACCTTGAGACAGTTGGACCCCATGACTGGATTGGTCCTGTGGAATGCCCTACACTGCCCCCTGCCCCGACCCTGTCCCCAGAGCTGTCCTCAACCCCTTTCGGTTCCGTGGGCTGTACCCACACACCTTCCTTTACCCTCCCTAGATTTCTAGATCCTCCACATTTCTGTCGCCTGGCACGGAGGCACCTTGACTGTGTCATTCTCTCCATTTCACAGGTGAGACACAGGCTGGGCTGGTGATGGATTGGTTTTCCCCAGGGATGCCCCCCAGAGGAGGGGTGGGAGTGCAGAGGAGGCGGCCCTCACCCAGAGTGGCCAGCACGTGGCGGAGCTCGGCGCCCATGACGGTGCCATTGCCTTCCTTGTCGAAGACCCGCAGCCCCTCCACGAAGTCCTCATAGGTGCCTGTGTCCTTGTTCTTGGAGATGTGCTGGAGCATGGGCAGGAAGGTGTCGAAGTCCATCATCTTGGTGTTAAGCTCTGTGGAGACATGGGCGAGTCCCATGCTCTGAGGGGCAGGGTGGGCACCCCCTTCCCCTGGGCCATGTAGCAAAGAGCTGTCGCCCTCACACAGTCAGTCCCAGAGCACTCTGCTCCAGTTAGCCATTTACAAGTCACTTCGCCATCACTAGGCACTTTATAGCCAGCCCAGAAGTGCACTGTTCACAGAATCCTTTGCTGTCCACAGGGACAGTTTGCTGCAGTGGCACCCCCCGGGCCCTGTCTAGCACCTCTGCTCTCCTTTTGGGAAACTATCCGAGATAGTGTCATTTTCTTATAGGCGCCCTCCCCAACACACACACTCCTTGTGCTTGGTCAGGAGCCATGGGCCCCACCCGAGACCTTCTCTGGGACTTTGGAATCTGCAGAGGGTGCTTGGGCCTCACTCCTCTGTGAGGCAAAGCAGGCAGCCCTCTCTGGCAGGAGTGGTGAGGGAATCTGGCCCTGAGGCCCAGGGAGATGCCGTGGAAACGAGGAGGGGCCACTGGACGTAGGGCAGCCGAGGCTGGGGGCCCCTGACCGCCCTCACACCAACACTGAGGCTACTCTGCACTATCAGTTTCCTGTGACCAGTAGCATGGGGCAGGATGGCCCAGCAACCTCATTGCTTGTTACTTTTCAGCATCGCCTGAGCCATTCCTCGGTTCCTCATCCAGATGATGGGAAGGAAGATGCCAGGAGAGCACAGAGCAGGGAGGTAACTGTGCCATCCAGAGGGCAACCCCAGTCGTCTCCCAGGGGCCTGGCACGAATGCATACCAACCTTCCTGCTTTGGTCTCCCTAGGACACGGAGCACCTCGGCCTGTGTAGGGTTCTGGCCCAGCGCCCGCAGAACATCCCCGCACTGCCCGTACGTGATCTTCATCTCACACTTGGGCGTGCGGTCAAACAGCATGAAGGCTTCCTTGAACTCTGCCGGGAGAGGGTGCGAACCATGGGTCCTCCCAAAGTCAGCCCACCCTACACACCCCACAGTGGCAGGACTCACCCCACACTGGCAGGGCTCTCAGACTGGGGACCCCAGGTCCAGCCCTATAGCCCCTGGGCTCAAGACCTTTGCTTACCTTCAATCTGCTCCGGTGTAAACTCGATCTGAAAGGAGACCCCAAAGATTCTGAGTGCCTGGCTCAGAGGGTGGGGCCAGGCCTTTGCCCACTCGAGTACTCCTCAGGCACAGCCCAGGCCTCAACCTCTTGGCTGCCCCAGCCTGTCCTTATTCCAGCTTCTGCCACCCACGAGCTCCTGCTGTCTACCTTAGCACCTTCCTGCCTCCTCACTCCTCCTGACCTGTTTGAGCTGGAGGGCCTCAGGTCCGCAGGTGCCCAGACCCTGATGGCTGGTGGGCTGCATCCGGGAGAGGGTGAGAAGGCTGGCCTGGTGCCCTGAGTCCTCAGCCCAGGGTAGGCCTTACCTGATGCCCCTGGCCCTGGACGGGTGTGTCTGAAGCCAGATGATCCAACCAGACTGGCTTTGCCGCCCCCCAGCAGGTCTGGGGCTCAGTGGGCAGGACTGTTCATATGAGTGAGAACCCCTCATATGAGGCTCATATGATGGCTCATATGGCTCATCTCATCGTCAGTGGGAGGGGGGTGGCAGGAGGAACAAGGGTGAGGGTACAGGCCAGAGGGTTTCTTTCAGCATGAGAGCATATCCACAGGAGTGCGTGCATGTATGTGTGTGATGTACGTGTGTGCATTCACACCTGTGTGTGTCTGCAAGTGCCCCTCACAGAGACCTCAAGGCTGGGTGCTGCCACTCACAGCCCCGCCTACACCTGGGCCTTCCGCAGCCCATGCGTCCACCCTGTCCACCCGGGGCAGCCCCCACCGCAGCACAGCATGGGGGCATGGTGGCGGTGTTGAGTGTTTCGGAGGCCACATCAGAGAGCCACCTGAGGTCAGGAAGCCTCCGGGGACCCGGTTTCCCCCTCCTCATCGGATACCAGATCTATTTTTATCACTGAGTCACTCGCCTCAAGGTCAAGGTCACAGGAGGGAGCTTGGGGGAGGGGGCATGGCTGGCACCTCCCTGGGAGCCCCACCCACCTCCATGGCACACCTCTGCCACCTCGCCCGTGCTTGTCCCTTCCAGCCCTCTGACTCAACTCAGCTGTTCCCGGCCCACCAGGAAGCCTGTTGAAGTTAGGCTCCTGAGCATCCTGGCAAAGCCCCTGCCCTTTCCTGGCCAGCCCGGGTGTGGGGGGAGAGCCAGGCGGACACACAGGGGCTTCTCTATGCCCTCCTCCCAGAGGGGAGTCTGTGCCAGCCTCAGATGCCGTGAGACCAGACCATGCCACCACGGCTCGGGGTAGTCAGACTGCCTGCGGGACACAAGCTTAGCCCTTGGGGGTGGTTGGCGCTCAGGGAGCCAGCTCCAGGAGGCACTTTCCAGGAACAGTTCCCAATAACCTTCGAGGAGGGCTTATTGTCCCTTGTCACATCTGAGGAAGCCATGCCTCAGAGCAGTGAACAGGATGGAGCCAGGCTGGGATCTGAACCCATGTCTTGAGGGACAATGTAGGCACCCCAGGAAGGGATCACAAACGGAAAATAGTTCTGTGCAGTCGGGCTGCAGGGCTGGCTGGACACGAGGAGCCGCGCGGAGCCGGGCAGGCCCCTCAGCCAGTAGCCAGGGCAGCCGTGACCGGTGGCCAGCCAAGAACAGGGAACAGGCAGGACACGGGGTGCGTGCCACTATGCAAATGCCATCGGTGGGAGTCATGGCTCTTCCTCCCAGTTTAGACTCTGAGAAAGACTTCCTAACTGGGGAAGGGCTCTGGGTGCACTGGTCACAGCCCCAAGACCAATTTCCCGAGTGACCTACCCAGCCTTTGCCTCAGTTTCCCCACCTAAAAACTGAGGCCCACCCAGCTCTGAGGTTAGGCCACCCTGGTAGGGGTGAGCATGACCCAGGCTGGGCAGGGACCTCACTTCCCCATGCTCTGCACTCTGGCCACCCTGGGGGACTTGGCATGGACATGACACCCCGGCTGAACAAGGAGGATCCAGCTGGCTGCCGGGGTTGGGGTCTGGGCAGCTCCAGGATTCCCCACGGGTAGTGAGGTCCACGGACGAGGGCAAGGGGCAGTTTCCAAAACCACCCAAAATGTCCCTTCAGCAGCACTGGGGGAGTCCTGCCTGATGTCTGACCACCATCCCTCTCACTACAGCCATCCTGATGCCTAAAGCGCCTCGGGGCTTGTCTGACCTCGGCACAGAAGCTTCCAGCTTTAGCTCAGTGCCCACTTTTTGGAGTCTGGCCTGCCACTGGGTAGGTCCACTCTGGGATCCACTTACCTGCCCTGTCCCTCCTGCCAAAACCCAGCTCCCATACCCACCTTGATTTTGGAGGCATCAAACTCTGCTTCCTTGGGGCGCTCGGGTTCGGGTGCAGGGGCAGGCGCTGGAGCAGGAGCAGGAGCTGCCTTCTGGCCTGCCTTGGCCTCGTCCTTCTTGGGGTCTGGCTTCTTGGGGGCCATGGAAGCTGTAAATACAAAGAGGGACGTGGAGAGAAGGAAGCAGAGAGCAGGGTAGGTGAGGCTCCTGGGCCTGGCCTTTATCCTGTCTGGACACCTCCTGACCCCAGCCCCACCCCCGCCGTGCACAATAGGGACAGAGCCATAAAAGGACATTGGCTAAGCTCAGGGGCTATTTTGGGGCCTGGGGAGGGCATTGTTCAGGCTCAGGAATGGGTAGAGGAGAGGGAGGGCTCTCCATTCCTCCCAATCACCTGTTAGGGAGAGGGAGGGGGAGCAGAGGACAGAGGCCACTGCTCACCACACACTCACCCTCGAATGCACACGCACACATGGGCACGACAACCCTCAGCAGGTCAACAAATTGAACAGGACCACGAGGCCGGCCCAAGTGTGTGTTGTGGTGGGGGCAGGACCATGATTACCTAGGGGCACCTCTTGAGTTAAACTTCCCAGCTGTGCATCCAATTCCCACGTGTGTGTTGGGGGGGGGGGGGAGTCTGTGTGTCTCTGTGGGTGACGGCCTGTGCCTGAATCCATGTTGGCTCAGTGGGTCTGCCTCTGGGTGTTTATACGTGTGCACGTGTCTGTGTGTATCTGCGTGAGTGTGTCTGTGAGTGTTGCTTCCGTGTGTTTGTGTCTGGTGTTTATATATATCCGTGTGTGAGTGTCTGGTCATGGTTCGCAGGCAGCTGCAGCCCCATCCGGAGGGTCCCCAGGAACACCTCAAGTGGCAATAGCATGGGTGCCACTCCCCCACCCCACCCCCGAGGGCAGCCACTCAGCCCCAGTCCAGCAGCCCAGTGGTCTCCGCGGCCCCCTTCACCAGCACCCAGCTGGCCCAGTGGCTTGCTTCTCTGTTCACCCCACTTCCCATCCCCTCTTCCCCCCACTGGCCTGTGGCCCACTTTAGCCACAGAGCTCAGGGCTGTTCCTCACCAAACCCTGGGACCCACTGCACCCTCTGCAGCGCGCCCTTCCTCCACTTGGCGCACTCCGGGCCACCACCCCCTCTCCCAGGAGGATCCTTGTCTGTGCCCCCCCACCCCCCCACCTCTTGCCACCACCGCCCCATACTTCCCTGGGCTGACCCTTGGGTGGGGGCCCTGGGAGCAGGTCTGCATCTCTGAGGGGCCTCGGGAAGCTAAGCCAGGTTTGCCCCCTGGTGCTCACCCCCCAGGCCCAGCCCTCAGCAGACAGACGGCAGGCCCGGGCCTGAGGGTGGCCAGGCTGGGCCACTGTTCGGCTAAGTGGGAGAGGTGGGAGGGCTGAGGTGGCATGAGGCCCCTCTGGGCGCAGAACCCTGAGAGTAAGGACATCTTGTGAGCACATTGGGCTCCCTTCCTCTGTGCCGGGGGTGGGAAGGAGGTGCTCCTTGTTATTTTTAAGTGCCTGGAGCCTTTGATAGAAACTTCAGAGGCAATGCCCCTCCCCCCTCCAGGCCCGGAGGGAGGGGGATTCCTGGGTGTGGAGAGGGCCTGGGGCCTCAGCCTGAGGGCAGGACTGGGGGGCCTCTACCTGGAGCCCCCTAGCAGTCTTGCAGCTGAGCCCTATCACTCATCCTCCTGGAGAGGGGGACACGGTGGAGGGATGGGGCCTGGCCCCCTCCTAACTGGAGCACAGGACATTCCTCCCCTCATCTGGAGGGCAGATCACCCCACATCTGGAAATCTGACAACATCCGGTGCTGGGGTGGGGAGGGGGGAGGCAAGTTTTTCACTTTCCTTCCAGATGTTTGGCAAGAGTATTGAGGGAAAAAAGGGGTGGGGGGAGGGTCCGCAGAGACGAGCCAGAAATACCACAAGAGAACACAGCCAGAGGGGGACACACAGAGTGAGGGAGGCCTCCAGGCAGCCCCGTCGCCCAGGCCCACTGGCCCTCAGGACAACTGACTCTGGATGTCCCATGGGGACTCCAGCCACCCTCCAGCCAAGACACTACCCAATCCCCTTCATCCATCACGGGTGAAACCGAGGCCCAGGGCAGAGGCCACACTCTGGCACCCAGACTCCCGATCTCATTTCTTTCATGCACACATAACTGCCGTGCCTCAGCAACCACCCATCACCATCTTGAACAGGGGTAGGTGAGGGACATGGGCCTCCGGAGCCTCAGCCGCCAGGTCCGTGCTACAGGGTGGCCAGGCTTAGGCAGCCCGTGGGAGCACACCGCGCCACCTCCTCTGTCTGGGGGAGCGGGGCGGGGGCACCTCAGTCCCCTTCCCTCATGCACGGGGGAGATGTGGTCCTGCAGCGGGGACACTGTGCACAGAGCCACCCTCTACCCCTTCCCCAGGGCTCAGATGGAGGCTGAGCAATGGCTCCTGGCAGCAACAGGGCCCCAGGGCTCACCCTGTGGGACCACTCTCAACCTAGAACTAAAGCCCGGCCCCCAGCAGGGGCTCTGCAGAGACCGGCCGCCTCTCCTGCCAACAGGACAGGCTGTTGAGGCCAGAAGCAAGGCGGGGGTGGGCAGGTGGGCAGGCAGTGGGCGGTAAGGTCCGGCCACAGTAAGGCGTGGCTCTCTCCCTCTCCCGGGTCCCGGCCTGAACTCTGTGCCCCCCAGGAATGACAGCCACAGGCAAGATCCAGGCAGGGCCTGGGGGGTCTGGATCCTACCCCTTTGGTTCCTCCAGCTCCACTGTCTGAGTGTGACCCCATCTAATGCAGACTCACAAGTACTACATTCCAGAGCCCCCTCTCTCTCCAGCCAAGGGGGATGCTGGGGAAGATGTGAGCCCTGACTTCTGAGGTGCCCATGGATAGAAGCAGAAGACTCCGGGCCACACTAGCCTCCCTCTAGGTTATTTCCAGCCCCAATACCTTTGCATAAGCTGTTTCCTTCTCCTATCCCCTTGTCTGGAAGCCGGGCCCTGGCTTGCTCCTTGTCACCCTCTGGTCCCAGTGATATGTCACGTCCTCCGAGAAGCCTCCTCAGACTATCCTGGACCTGCTCCCTCTGCCTTGTCTCTCACCCTGACTCCCCATCGCTGTGCATCCTAAAATAAACCTGTTTCTTTGTTATCTAGTTTCTTACGTGGATTCCCTCCATCCCACGGGTATCCGCTGTCATGGAGGTGTCTTCGTTCTCCCACACTTCTATGTTCCCAGAGTCTACAGCAGAGCCTAGCACACAGTAGGCACGCAGGAAATGTTGGATGAGCAAAGGTCCCAAACATCTCAATTTACCCATTTCTCACCGGGTGCCTGGGACCCATTGCCAAACCGCAGCCCCTGCATAGGGCCAAGGGAGATTAGGGAGTGAGGGGGATTTGCTGGAAGACTGGCTAGACTCACTGCAAGGGACCCCGGGGACAGCAGTGCAGCCAGCTGCTGCCACCACCTCAACCCAGGGCCTGCTCTGGGTGCCACTTCCACCCACTGGTGGAGGTTCTTCTCAATAGCCTGAAAAGGTAGGGCTACCCCCTGGTCTCAACGGCGACTTGACCATGAAGACCAGCCAGCAGGGGGCGTAAAAGGGATATAAACCAGGCTTTGGCTCCAAACCCAAACCCCAGAACCCAGGAGCCCGGACCCAGAACCCAGACTGCAGACCTGGAACCCAGACTCCAGACCCGGGTCTCAGAATCTGAATGCCAAACTTAGAACCTAGAATTCAAGGCCCAGAATCTGATCCCATTCTGGGAACCCAGACTTTAAAATGCAGGATGCCAAACCCAGACCTTAAATCCAGACTCCAGACCCAAGACCCTAGGCCGAGGACCAGGACTCTAAACTGGACCCAGGATCCGGGACTCAGCACCCAGGACCCAGGACAGGGGCGGCTGGCTTTCCAGACTGGCGTTGCCCTCTAGCTCTGTGTAGACAAGGGCGGGGGATGGGGGAGGGTAAGCTCTTGGCAAACAGTGGGGGTGAGTGCTTGGCAGACCTTCCCGCTAGTGTTCCTCTGAGGGGCATGAGGAATGTCCCTCATCCTGTCAGAGCCAATCTGGGGAGCTGAGAATATGGTGGCCACGTGGAGGGGGGTGGTGGAGGGTGATGGGAGGGAGGGATGGATAAGGCCTGGCTGTCCTTTGGGCCCAGGAGCCAGAGGCAGGGAAGAAGGGTCGGGCTCTTGTGCCCCTGGCCACAGGCTCCACGGGCTGCCCTGGCCCGCCCCAGACCGCCCCTCCTGGCCCGAGGCCTCTGGGCTGGGATGCAGGCCCACACTTCCCGGAGGAGTCGAGAACGCGGCCTGGGCCAGACCCAGAGCCTTAGAAGTAGGTCAAATGTTGCTGTGCAGCAGGTCCTGGGGACCCCGTCCAGGCATAGGCAGGCCCATGGGTGGCAGCTCACCCACCAGGGCACACATGTGTATCCACAGAGATGTGAACCCTCTGCCACATGTCAGGTGCCATAAGCACAGACCCCATGCAAGGCCCTCAGCCCCTGCCCAACCGCCCAGCAGCAGGAGCTACCCAGAGACTCTAGCCAGAGGTGGCACGAGGCAGCCACGAGGACCAGGAGGAGAGGAATTTGTGCACCATCCCACGGTCCTGGATCATTGGGTGAAAGTCTGACTCCAAGGAGGACTTCCCAGCAGCACTGCTGTGCCACCAACAGGATGTGGCCTGCTTCCCGGAGCATAGCCCCAGGCCTTGAAAGATGGGAAGGAGTGGCCAAGGGGGAGGCAGGAGTCTCCTTATGCTCTTGTGACCCAGGCTGGTCCTGACTGCTCTGAGCCTCAGTTTCCCCATCTGTACAATGGCCAGGGGTGGGACAAGGTGACCGTCACTGCCCCAGAGCCCTGGCCCATCCTCGCCACCCCCACACCACACACAGACAACTCTGTCCTCAGCAGGCCAAATACAACCCTCAGGCCCCTCCCTCTGCCCACTGTGCTGACGGGGACCAGATGCTCCAACCTTGTGGTTCTGGGGTGGGGGTGGCAGGACCCAGCGGGCTGGCAGGCAAGCCCCGGGTTTGGCCCAGGGACCTATAATCAGCTCCTGCCCCTCTGATCCCTGCCCAGGACTGACGCTTGGGGCTGTGGTGTCCTGGCCGGCTGTGGCCACGGCCGCTATATTTGGGAGCCCAATTGAGCATAAGGGAGGGGTGGGCAGGCAA